CTTGACCTGAGCAGATCACTTCATTCGGAACCAAAACTAGATCAATCGATAGTCAACTGACAATTTTTAAAGCAGTGCCTATTTGAGAATTGCTACTGTGATATGCTGAGAAATCAAACCTCGGCATGGAGCATTAACCATTTTTGCTACTGAAACGGAATCATCTTTATGCATCGTTATCCACCTTTTTTTTTTAAAAAATAGCTTTGTGGGCCATGTCAAATGTTATTTTTATGAGGCTCTACGTCACAGTCTGTAAACACGATTTGAAGTGAACCCAACATGCACGTTTTGGGAATATGAGAGGAAACCTACATTTTGGATGAGACCATGCAAACTCTGCACAGTTGAGCCAAAAAACAAAGCCAGAACCTCAAAACTGTCAGGCAGACGTGCTAAACACCGTGCTGCAAATGTTTCATTTTTTTCCTTTGTCATTTATCAACATCCCTGCTCACAAAATCTAACTTCTTCCTCCATCCAGATGTCATCCTGATTCCCACCTATAATGGATCAAAGCAAAAGGTGCCTGAAAGGATTTGGAACTGTCAAAATGGTAAGAATGACACAGCACATGGGTGTTTCTTTATTTCTTCTACTTAGCCGTGTGAAGGCTGTTGACTTTTCCCCACTTGAAATTGAACAATTCATTGTGTGGTGTGTAATTCACCATCACAAATAGTTGGTGACAATTTACGAATACGGAATTGTAGGTCTTCAATCTCCACTGACAGACATCAACTTGGTCCCGATGAAAAGAGGAGCTCAAACACCAAAGTTCCCTTTTCACAACATGTCCGGTACGTATATACTGTATTTATCATTCATTACGGTGGCAGCGTGTCCAATGTAACGTCGTACACTTACAGTTGAAAGGCGAACATACTCAATCTTAAAAAGAGCTCTAAGTATGATGTGAGGCACTTCTACACAACTGCAATTCACGACCTCAAAGACCGCCTCAAAAATATTGTACATCATTTGTATTAGCTCTTGGTAGATTGTGAAGTTATGTTCATATTGCACTGACACAAACGCATTTCAGATTTATCAGTTTCAGGTAAAAGAATGAAACTGAGCTTGTATTGGGAGGGGAAAAAAAACATCCCAATATTTAAAAAGATCTACTAGACCCACACACTCTAATATAGTGTGTAGTATATAGGAAAGTTACAAATGTGCTCATTTATCGCACAGCAGTTTAATCTTTTTTTTTCTATGCAAAGTTAGAGGCACTTTTTTTTTCAGAAAATGTTCCAATTTTGTATTTTGTGACCTTATGACCATTAAACTCCACTGTTCGTTCTCACTAATTTGAGATGGGCTTTCCTGAGATTGCCTCAGGGTGAACAGTGAGTGTGTATCCCCAGTGGATGAATGACGGGAAGTGTGTGTGTGCTTGTGTATGTGTGTGTGTGTGTGAGGGGGGGGGGGTATGTGTTTGCTGGGAGCAGACAAACTAAAAACCAAATAGCAGAAGGAATGTTTGAATTGCAGCCAGTGTTGTCACAGTGCAGGCCAGTGCTGGTCGGGAGCTGCACAGCCATGAGATCCTAGACTTGCCTTTCATTCTATTTTGTACACGTACAGCATAGTGTAAATTGTGTGTTCATATTTGCCCTAAATCTAACCTTCCTTCACCAGTTTTTGCAGATTTGAGCCAACAGGAAGTGTCTCAGCGTCATGTTTGATGAATGCACTCTTTGTCACTCAGCTGTCATGCCTGAGATGAAATGTGATTTCTATTTTCCAATTTGCGGGCAATTTACTTGGTAGCGCAATGACAAACACATGCAAGCCCGCCGCTAACTGTCAAACCCCAAAGTTGTTCGAGAGAGCGTGACGGTCATGCTGCTCTTCTTTCGAAGTCCAGAAAAGTTAAAGGGATGAAGCGCAAAAAAGAAAGCAAATATCAGTTCCCATCAAACAAGTTTGAATTTGCCCACTTCCTGATGATTGCTAAGCTCTAAAAAAAAAAAAAAAAAAAAGCTTCCCGTTTTCCCACTGACACTCGAGAAAGAAGGGTTGCGAAACTCAAGCCTGTATGTTTCCCAACCACCACTGCCATCAACCCTTCCACACTTTATTTCGTGTTAGATGGCATTACATGCATACTGTAACACTTAACTGCACACTGCAGCATCAGGATGTTCTACAACTCGTAACACGTATCTACAAAACGCTGATTTCAGAGTGTCCTTGACACACAAAAGGGGAAGTTTTTATAAACAGTCCTTGACCTTGCAAATGCAACACGGTTGCCACAGAGATAATCATGTTTGCTTTTATTATACAAAGAGGATTTTTTTTTCAATTAGACTTTTGCACATAAAAGTTGAAATAAAAAAATTACCCAAATAAATGTTGGAAAACAAACAATTCTTAGATGGTTCAAAAAAAAAAAAAAAGAAAGACAACCGCACTGTGCTAGT